GACTTCTCCGGTGTTCCGTTTTGGTACCAAGTTCCTGCGATTTTCTGTGTGGTTTCCTGCAGGCTTTGGGTTGCGCTGTCTGTGGGGGGTGTGGACTTTTCGGTCTGCCTCTCCTGCCTTCCTGGTTCCTTTTCTTGGAACCGGGTTTGCTGGGTTCCGGTCCTGGTTCCGGTTTTTCTTTGTTCCTTTTCCGGACCGGGTGTGGTTGCTTTCCTGCGGTTCACGTCCTGGGTAGTTTTCCTCTTGGGTGCCTTGGGGGATGTGTGCGTCATTCTTCCCTGCTGGAGCTGGTTATGTTGCTCCTTTTGGTTGCGGGGTCGCTGTTTTTAGATTCGCGTTTTGCGCTTTCGCTCGTGGTGTTAGCTTCTCGTCGTTTGTGTCGGCACTGGTGGGTTCGTTCTTGGTCTCCCACTTGCGTGTTTCGTCTTGGGGGTGGTGTGTGTTTTTCCTGGCGGTCTTTCCGGTTTTCCTATCACTGCGAAGGGTCCTTTGGTCTTTGATAGGGTTGGCTTGTCTTCCATTCGGGGTTGTTCTGGGACCGTTGTCTGGGATTGTCCTGTCACCTCATATTGGGTGGTGCTGGCGGAGCCGCTCCTGCTTGTGTTCAGTGTTGTGGTTCCTTCTGCTCCATTCCACTTGCTGTCCTGGGCGTTGTTCTCCTCTGGCCTGCTCTTGAGTTTTGGTGCCGTCGTGGTTGTTGGCCTGGGTGGTCTTTTTCTTCTCGTTTTGGTCTTTGTTTTGTCTCTGGTTTTGGTTGTTCAGTTAAGATGTGTGGTATCCGCCTCCCGGTTCCTTCCCTGTTTTACTTATCTGTGGTGAGGTAGCTCCGGGGAGCCGACGGGGCTTCCCCCAGAAAACCAGCGTTGAATGTAATGAAAAGCCATTTTCTAGGTGAGTCCCGGAGGCTCCCCAGCATCCCTCCCTCCTTCCGGTCGGCGGCGTTTTTCGCGTATTTTGACATCCAGCCTAAGAACTGCCAGTTGGATCGCCGGCGTGGAGGGTCTGGGGCTCCCCCTTCCCCCACTCGGGGAGGGGGGGGAAGGGGGAACAACCGTGCCGGAACAACCGTGGACATCTTCAAGAGAAAACTGGACGGTTTTCTAAGAGAAGTTCCGGATCAGCCGGGCTGTGGTGGGTACGTGGCCCTGCGGGCTGCTCCAAGCAACAGCCTGGTGGACCAGACTCTCACAAGTCGAGCCTTGCCTCGGGCCGGGCTTGGGGAGTAGAAGAACTCCCAGAACCCCATCAACCAGGTATCAACCAGGTTGCGCAGACGGTGGTGCGGCGACGTGATGACGTCATGCTAGTTTGATAATCTTGTTTGGGGAGTTCTGTCCACTCGTTCAGCTTTCGGTAGCAATAATTTCACCAGAATAGGGGTTTGTTTTGGGGCGCCTACCTTTCTGGGTGCCTGTCCCGGTCGATGGCAGACATAGAATGCTCCCAATCACAAGGGGGCTTCTATAAGCCATTGCTCCTCGTGCCTCTCTGAGGGGGCCAGGTTCTGGCTCGTGGTCCCCGGTAGGCAAGAACTCCTAGCACTTTGACTGATGCCAGAAAGTTATACATATCCATTCAGCCTGGATAGCTCCGGGGAGCCTCCGGGACTCACCCAGAAAATGGCGTTTCATTACATTCAGTGCTGGTTTTTTCCGGTCATAATCCCCTGGATACTTGGCGTTCTGAAGCGCGTGTGGGGCGGCTTTGAGTGGCACCTCCTCCGCCTCTGTACTGCATGTGCCTCGTCTTATCCTACTGGGCTCGCACCTCAGGACGTTCTCCACTAGGGATGCTCCGGTTGCATTGCACGGCTCAGCTGTGTCGTGACACGGTGGTGTGTCTGTTTTGCAGGTGAGATTGTACAGTCTGGCGAATCTGTCGGCCGTGTGCTGGTTCTCGCTGTTTGGTGGGGTACTCGCCTAGTTGTGCTTGTGGGGGTTGAGCTCTAGCTCTTTGGTCCCGCCTCTCCACTGTCAGTTGTCAGGTGTCTAGCTTCCTGAGCCTATGAGGTTCTATCTTCTCTACGTTTGCGACTGTATGGAGTTGCCTCCACCACATCCCTTCCTAATGCATTCTGCTTACTGACTACTGACACTGAAACAGTTTTCTATGTGTCTGTGGCTCATTTATCCATCCTTGTCTGCCCTGTCGTTTCCCCACTTGACAGGGTAGCGTCATTGGCTCCTAACAGGAGTGTTAGGTGTTGTATTTTTTGCTTGGACACTGTGTGTGTGTGTGTCTTACTGTGCCTACTTTGTCCGTGTCTCTTGTTCTTGTTGTACTGGTGGGGGGGGGGCACTGCCCCACATTTCGGTGCTTTTTGTTTCGTTTTTCGGTGCCTGGGTCTTTTCTCGATCTTTGGACATTCCTTGCCTATCTTAGGTGCCTGGGTGCACCCTGATATCCATGGTGTTCCTCTGTGTATGTGCGACCTCCCACACCACATGTTGTGGTTGGTCGTTTACATTGCATAACCGGCTGATACTTGGTCCGTATTCCAGTCTTTTCCTTGCCTATTTCTGTTTTTCTCCCCCTCTATACTACACATGCTGTGTATCTTGGTCGGTGCTTATTGGCTATACTGTTGTTAGGTGCTGGGGTCGGCCTCTGTCCATGTTCCCTTCCCAGATTTTGGACTACCCCAGTGTTCAGTTTTGGTACTGAGTTCACTTTTTCCTTGCTCTCTCTTGTTGCGTTAGCTGCGGGAGGTTGTGGACTTCCGGTCAACCGCTCCTGCTCTCCTGGTTCCTTTTCTTAGCACAGGGGTAGCTTGGATTCCGGTCTGGGCTCCAGCTTTTCTTTGTTCTTTTTCCAGAACGTGCGTTTTTGTTTTCTTGTGGTACACGTCCTGAGTAGTTCTCCTCCTGTGTACCTCGATGACACGTGCCTCGTTCTTCCCTGCTGTTGCTGGTTGCGCTGCTCCTTAGGGTGGCGGGATCACTGCTTTTCGCTTTGCATCTCGCACTTTAGTTCGTGGTGCTCATTTTCCTCGTTGGCCTCTGCCTGGGCCCTGGCTCTTCAATGTTTGGCCTTGTTGGTCCTTCCAGGGTCCTGGGGGTGAGGTTCCTTCCGGACGGGGCATTTCTGCTTGTCCGGGTTGGTTCCTTTTCGGCTCATCGGGATTGGGTTCCTGGTTCCCTGGCGGCCGTTCCTTCTGGTTTTTACCAGCCTTGTTTGGGGGCTCCGTTTTCCGCGGTTCCAATCCTGAGGGGCTTCCCGCGACTCCGCCTCTTTTTGCGAATTGGTCCAGCCTTGTACAGTACTGGGCTGGTTTGTTCTTCCCCTCGAGTCTTTGCGTCTGGGGGTTTTGGTCTCGTGTTCTCATCGCTTGTGGGGGCACTGGTGGCTTCGTTGTTGGTCTCTTGCCTGCGTGCTTCATCTCGGTGGCAGTGTGTGGTTTCCTGGCGGTCCTTCTGGTTTTCCTATCACTGCGAAGGGTTCTTCGGTCTCTGATAGGGTTGTCTTGTCTTCCCTTCGGGGTTGTTCCAGGACCGTCTTCTGGTGTCGTGTACTGCTGCCTCGTTTTGGGTGGCACTGGCGGAGCCGCTCTTGCTTGCCTTCGGTGTTGCTGTTCCTTCTGCTCCGTTCCGCTTGCTGTCTTGGGCGTTGTTTCGCCTCCGGCCTGATCTTGCGCTTCTGGTGCTGTCCTGGTCGTTGGCCCGGGTGGTCTGTTTTCTTTTTCTCCTCGGTTGTCGTGATCCCTTCGGTTCTGGTGTATTTTTGTTTTTCAGGTCTCCTGTTGGTGTTGACCTCTAGGGGTCGGGTCGGGAAGTTTCCAGCTCTCCTCTGGCTCCCGTGTTTTTCTGCCTCGTTGATCTTCGTGGTAGGTTATTCTTTTGATGCAGTCTCCTTCTCGGGTGATGTTTGGGTCTGCTGCTTCCTGAGGGGTCCTTGGGTTGTTGTTTGGTTGCCGGTTGTCAGGCTGGGGGTGCTTTCTTTTGTTCGGTTGTGGCTCTTTGCTGTTCTCTGCACATCTTGGCCTCTGGGGCTGTGGATGCATTTTGGGTTGCCCAGATTCCCTTGCTTCCCTCCTTCCTGTTCTGTGGTTCGGGTCTCCCGGGTCATTGGCAAGGTCCTTTCTTTTCGTCTGTGGTCTTGCTTTTATGTTAGGCGCGTGGCGTCCGCCTCCCGAATCCTTCCCTCTTTTCCTTACCTGTGGTGAGGTAGCTCCGAGGAGCCGACGGGGCTCCCCCCAGAAAACCAGCGTTGAATGTAATGAAATGTCATTTTCTGGGTGAGTCCCGGAGGCTTCCCGGCATCCCTCCCTCCCTCCGGTCTGCAGTGTTTTTCACGCTTGTTGACATCCAGCCTAAAAACTGAAGATTGAGTCACCGGCGGGTAGGTCTGGGGTTCCCCCCCCCCTTCCCCCTCCCGGAGAGGGGGGTTGCGCAGACAGCGGCGCGGCGACATGATGACATCATGCAACCAGAATAGGGGTTTGTTTTGGGGCGCTTACCTTTCTGGGTGCCTGATCCGGTCGATGGCAGACATAGAATGCTTCCAACCACACAGGGGTTTCTATAGGCCATTGCTCCCCTTGCCCCTCTGAGGGGGCCAGGTTCTAGCCGTGGTCCCCGGTAGGCCTAAGAACTCCATACACATGACTGATGCCAAAGTCTGACATTAGCATATCAGCCTGGGATAGCTCCGGGGGGCCAACGGGGCTCCCCCCAGAAATGCAAAATGTTCCTAAAAAGATTAAAGAAAAGAATATAAAATGTTCTTTTTCACAAAATTTCCTTGTAAAATAGGGGCACATGGTATGTGTAAGTGCATCTTGTATAATGGATGGTATTCTATAAAAAATCTGCTGGCTACTTTTAATAGTCCATTCCAGCAAAGCAAATAGTCCAGCAAAATCAGGTGGTTGGGTACCATTCCTTTCCTTTGTCATACCTCAAATACTTATCCTCATATCCCGTCCACGTGCTGTATAGTCATAATGGCTTCAGCACTCTGTCCTGATAATTACTTCACCTTTAATTTGTTTATTTTTTCAGGTTTGGGAAGAGTGCTTGGCCCAAGTATTGTTCCTACCAAGTCAGAGTAAATACACTCGGGCAAGTTTAGCCAGCAAGAAGGACAGGATTGAATCTCTGGAGAAGCGATTGGAACAGAACAGACAACACATGGCCAAGCAAGCTAAGATTGCCGCTAAATTGGAAAAGAAACTCAAAATATTAATGGGTGGATATCAGGTAAATTTATGTGATTATTTATATATATATTTGTACAACGTGCAGCCATCAGTGTTACCATGCCTGTTTACTACATGGGCTCAAACTCTTCAGGTGGTTCTTCCTGTTCATTTGTTTTCCATTCCTTACTTTATTCCATGTACACATGCGTACCATGTACACATGCGTACCATGTACGCATCCTCATTTTCATACTTTTTCTTTTCTCAGAAATTCATGTTGTACACTTGCACTCCTCACTTAGACTGGTTGGTTCACGAACGACCTGGCTTTTAGCAGGGCCGACATTTGACCCCTGATGATCCAAGTGGTTAACTACTGTTTCTTCACTATTCTCTTGGCCCTTCCAAGCGTTATATAGTTATATTGGTGAAGCACTTTCTGATTATAATACCTTGCTCTGCACTCCTCTCTTAATCTAATACACTATACATCCCACATGTCTCTGAGGTTCTATTGTCCATAATTTATATTAATTTTTCCTGATGTGGGGGTTTTCTATTTTGCTTTCCCGACTGCAATGTGTATGTCGCCAATGTACATCTGGCAGACGCTTCACGAAGCTGTCAGAATCAGCAGAGAAAATACGAGAGCAACCGTACAGGGCCTGGGAGCAAGGTCGAGTTAGAGTCCTTGAGGGTCTCTTCTCAGACTAGCCTCACCTGGTCTTGGTCTACGTTGATCGTTGGAATCTTCTCAATGATTTAACACTTTAAGGGACTCCCAGGGTACACATCACATTTATAGTTTAGTGAATATAGGCAACTCAGTGTTGAAGACACCTAGAGCTGAAGGCTTGAGTAAATGGTTGACAGTATTCAGAAGTGGTTCAACGGAAACACTGCATAATGCTTAACAGTAGTTTATTTACTAACTTAACCACTAATACACAGGGTGCTTGATTTACTTTAGATTGGCATCAGAAAGGCTATGGTTGTATTAGCGAGACTCTTGGCGTCTGGCTTATGGATTCGGATCCACTCGTGGAGTAACACCTAACTTAACACAGTTGACAGCCAATCACTAACACGGCAACCTAACTGCCGGTATGCAAAGGGATCACAAGAGTTCCAACCAGATACTCGGGGTAATGATGATATGCAATAAACACAATGGCACTGTCAATGGGACAGGCAATAACATGCACAATAATAATATCACACAATACTAAATGTGTGGTGTATGTGAAGCTCATATTCACAGACGGGTGTAATGCCGTGATACCACACAGATAAACATGCATACACCGTCGGGTGCCTTCACCTATAACCTGTATCAGGTATGAGTAGGTGAGAACTGTGGTTGATCCCTCAGATCAACACAGAGACAATAAAACAATGACAAGATCTTGTACTTACAGGTACTCTTATTCACTCACTCACTCAGGCACATTTATGCAAGAACTCGTAGGTGTCCTGACAGCTGGTTCTGCTCATCACGACGTGAGACCTTTGGCGACAGGCTTTCCCACAAACCGTACTTGAAACGGGGGGTACTCGCAGGAAGGCGCACGGTATGTCTGACAGACACACGCACACACACTAATGGCACTGGCGATGAGTAAAGGTGGTGACGTCATGTAGTACAGTGAGGGCGGCGGCTGGCGGGCTACACGCTCAGGACAGAGTGGCAGCTGATTATATGGTACTGTGCAGGTACACTGTGGTAAAAGTCACACACAGATTACTTAGGCGGCGGCACTGCCTTAGTTCACTCTAGGTCACTCACAGACGATCTCCACTTGTCACCAGGGTTTACCTGATACCAGTCTGTTTCGCTCTGGTGATTTGTCACTTGGCTTCTGAACAATATATTCACAGTCGTGATTCCAGGCAAGTGTTGGTATATCGAAAAGACGCTGAGTTTAACTTGACGGTGAGGAATAGACGGTGTTCTTCTGCCTGTTGGCCGATAGACAGAACAGGACACGTCTTCTATGCAAGGGCTCCCTCACGTGAATGCTCTTGCCTGGGGCTCTGGGCATCTCGTGGGACACACACAAGGGATTACAATTTGACCAATAGCATTGCAGCAAATGAGCGGGAACCAATCATATTGATTGTTCCCTGATCAGTAGCAGAGGTGACGTCATGAACACATCACGACCACGTCACAGTTGTTATTCTCCATTGCGCCGGTTGAGGCTGACCCCAAAGGTCAGACTGTCCTGTCGCCTTGCTGGCGTCTCTCTCACGCTGGCACCAGCCAATGTACTCCCTGACCCTGTGGCCAGTATGCTTAACTTTCCTGTATCTACTTCCTGCCTGGACATACGGCGGCCTCCGTATTATAAACGTATTTCTGGTTAAGTGGGCATTTTGTAGATACCCAACATGCCAGTTTACTATCCAGGGTTAACAGAGATAGGGCTTGTGCACGAGGATCGGTTCACTGTGTACTGCAATGAGCCATTCAAGTTAGCTGTGGGAGAATCCTGAGAGACCATTCTCTCACACCTGATTACACAAAAATTCCTTTATTAGTTCAGTATACTTATTTCTTATTTTTACTTTACCGTTAAGAAAGTAATTAGTGCATTACAAGCAAATACAGTATGCGGTACAGTATTATTCATAGCTACAAAATGCACAAAGTTGTGTTAGGTAGATTAAGACATAACTCAACATTAATATCACCTAATACTGTATAAGGAATAATGATATGAATGAAGTGAGCAGCTCACAGTAAAACATATCTTAACATAATACAAACAAATATAAAACAGAATGTTTCTAATTTGTAGACATAATTACTTTTCAGTGCTAACCTTTTAAATTACATTTAGTTGGAACTTAAACCAAAGAAGGCTTTGAGTTAGGATGAAAAGCTCCTTCCAGAGTTGGCCACTTGAACATAGACTTGCAACTCTCCAGCCCGTCCTCTTGATTTGGTACTACGTACAAAGGTACAAAGCTCCCAATAATTCAGGTGCTTTATCGCATCTGTGTATGCTGTATATGTTCTCTGTATTCCCTCTATTTCAGCAATTTCTCCTGCTCTGAAAGGGGGAAGTGAGTACTGAGCAGTACTAAAGACAGGACAGCACAAGTGATTGTGCATAAGTGATAGAATGTGAATTGTGCACTTTGTGAATTATCATAATCACATTCTATCACTTGATACACAAGCTATCGGGCTACTATGCAATATATTAGTCTAGGGCAGTAGTCAATGTAGTTGAGCCTACCGGGGACCAAGAGCTAGAACCTGGCCTTCCACCTCAGAGAAGCACAGGGAGCCTCAGAAAACTCCCCTGTGGTTAGGGGTTTTCCTTGTCTGCCATCGACTGGGGTTAGGCACCTAGAAAGTAGGAATAACAAAACACCCTATTTGGTAAGAAAATTGCAACCAAAAACTGAACAGGGAGGCAGAACTCCCCCAATTCTCAAGGAAACGAGCACACAAGCAAACGTCATACACTGCCGCTTGTCTGCGCAGCCCTCGCCTCCCTGGGAGGGGGAGGGGGGGAGCCCCGGACCCACTGCGCCGGCTACTCAACCTCAGTTCGTTGGCTAATGCGATCTGGGGAGGTCGTCAACTCTGGCCTCGATTTCTTGGCAGTGTTTTGCCTTAGTGGTGTTTCCTGATGTGTTGTGGTGGTGGTGGCCAGGTGTAACATCAGTGTACTGGGGCTGTATGCACTTAGGGCTGCCTTTCCTAAGTGCCATGTAAGTACTACCCCCTAGTACTCTTCCATAGTGCCTTCGGGACTCGACTTCCGTAGAGGTTCTTGCTGCTCGGCATTTACCCCACCCTTGGAGCTAGCTGGGGTTTCGTGGCCTTTGTTTGGCCTTGGATAGGAAGTGGTATTATTGCTGGTTGGGGGGTGTCAAGATGTTGTGCAGCTCGCCTACCTACGCGGTGACCGGTTCCTGTTTCCTCTTAGGACGTTTTACTTTTGCGGGGTTTTCTTTAATTTTGTTTTCTTTGCCTGGTGGGGTATGCCTTGTTTAACTATAGCTCCACTTCATTTTTTAGGCCCCGGTGAATGTACACATCGCAGGGGTTTCTGTGTTTTAGCTCATTCCCCATTTTAGCTCTTGGATTTAACTGGTCTTGCAACACCTTGCCCGGGCTTCCCGTAGCAGTCAGCCTACGGGCCCTGGAAAACCCTGTCAGTGCTTGGTAGATTGAAGGATGCGTCTTCCAGGTTCCAGCTCGCCTCGTGTGAGTTTGAAGATTGCTGTGTGACCTTGTCTCAGGATGACAGTCACCAGTTTTGCCTCCGTCATGCTGCCTGTTGAGTCACCGACAACTTTGACCCAGAATCTTGCAAGACGTATTCTCTGCTCATGCTCCAATTTACCTGGTTTGAAGGATCCCGGGATGGGAAAGGAGTTGACCTGGGGGCTTAGGCCCCTTTGATCCTGCTTGGGTGTTAGTGCCCTCTTTGCAGGGTTTGTTGTTGCAGGGGGAAGGGTTTTCTTACCCCTCCTTCCCTGTATGAGTATGATTTAGGTTCGGTTCCGGGTTCCGTTGGGTTCCTCGGCTCCTTCATTCCATAGGTTCCCTGCCTCAAATCTCACCTAGGGAGGTTCGGGAGGCTCTTGCTGCGTACCTCCTGCGAGACCCGGAGTCTGCCTCTGTGATGGATCTGTCTTCATTTGAGTTTGGTTCTTCTTCCCCGTATTGGGTGCATTTGGAGGTTCTGGCATCTTCCTGGCTGGTAGACTGCCAATTCTTTTCGTTGGGAGCGTTGGTTTTGTCGAACCTGTACGCTCGAATGGGGTGCACTGCTACCATTCTGCAGTGTGGCTTTGAGTTACAGGTTGCAGCCATTTGTCTCGACTTCGAGTTGAGGAGCCCATGGCGGCCACCTCCCGGGTAAGTAAGTTTTTACTTATCTTGAGTTATGTAGCTCCAGGTAGCCGAAGGGGCTCCCCACAAAACCAACATTGAATGTAATGAAACGCCATTTTCTGGGTGAGCCCCACAGGCTTCCTGGCACCCACCCTCCCCCCCGGTCAGTGATTTCTTTTTTGTTTTTTATACTTAGCTCCCTGAACTGGTGTTGAGTAGCTGGTGCAGTGGGTCCGGGGCTTTCCCCCTCACCCTCCTGGGAGGGTAGGGCTGCGCGAACAAGTGGCACGGCGGCAGTGTGTGACATTTGCTTGTTTCCTTGAGAATTGGGGGAGTTCTGCCTCCCTTTTCGGTCTTCGGTTGCGATTTTCTTACCAAGTGGGGTATATTTTGTTATGCCTACCTTTCTGGGTGCCTAGCCCCAGTCGATGGCAGATAAGGAATACCCTCAACCACAGGGGGGTTTTTCCAGAGGCCATTGCTCCCTGTGCCTCTCTGAGGGGGCCAGGTTCTGGCTCGTGGTCCTGTAGGTCCGGTAAGCTGAACTCCATTGACTAATGCTCTAGACTAATATATCGCATATTAGCTCGATTGCTCCAGGGAGACTCCGAGGCTCGCCCAAAAAATGACGTTTCATTACATTTAACGCTGGTTTTTTTACTAAAATCTTTTGGTGTTCCTGTTACTCTACACACTTTCACTATGTTCCCGTACATCGTTATACAAGTTAATTATTTTTTTTGTTTAAGGCACGGGCTGCTTCGTTGGCTGCAAGTCTCCAAGACTGTGTGGCTCAAGTGGAAACTGCTTTATTGGAACACTCCACATTCACCTTCCTAAAGCAGATGGAAACGATTGCCATACCTCGTAGGTTAGCGACCATCTCTGAGGACGTTGCACGACAGACAGAGCGGGAGAAAGAGCTTCAGAGGAGATATGACCTATTGCAGCGCATGCTTCAAGACCTCAAAGGGCCTACAGCCAAATCTGTTGATGATAGTCAATAGCTTAGGATTATCTATATTTTTGTAAAATATTTGAAGTTTTGTAAATCAATAGTGCTTTTATTTGTAATGCTGCAATGAAGTATACTCTCTCTCAATGAGTAATATTTTCACTTTTTCTTTTGTTTTCCTATTTCATTTACTTTTCTTTACTACTATTTTTTACTTACACATTATACACTTTCTGAAGCACCCTTCATTCAGGTCTTTCTATACATTCTTGTTTTTTAGCGCAAACAAATGGCAACTGGTTTACATGTATGTGAATTCTATGATTGACAACATCCCAGCCTGTGGAATTCTTCAGCAAATATTTTATATATTCAACTCGTATGTTAATATTTGAAGCCAATTAAAATGTCAAAAGATGATCCTGCTTGAGGTTGCCACCCAGTTTAGGGAAGAGGAGTGTCCAGAAAAAATAAACATCTAAAGATGTTCTGTAAAATATATAGGTACAAACTGCTGAACGGCATGACAAGAGAATGCTAAGGATACAAATTAAAATTTAACTTGGAGAGTAAAATGTAACTTGTAGTATGTTTCACTGGTTTTGTAGTCTGTGTTTTTATTATTGTATATGCTCAGATAGCCATGGAATCATAATGTATACATGTATTGATTGATCAGTAAACCCAAGCATATGAAAAGGGAAAGTGACAACATTTTGGTCAGTCGTGGACCCTTATCATGCAACTTGATAAGGGCTCCTGACAGACACGAATGTTGTAACTTCCTTTCTTTTATATGTGTGGGATAGATTAATAATTTTCAGCCACATTATTATTTACATTGATTTATTGATTATTAGAATCTTGGCCCAAGTCAGGCACTGAACCATGTTGATTTTACATTCATATTAACTTTTCTTAACTTCAAACTATTTAAGAAATGCATTTGGCATTAGTAGATGAGAAATATAAAGGATTTGAGTTTATATGAAAAGATCCTTTCAGAACACTAGTCAGGACAGGGGATGGCACACTGTACCGATAGCAAGCCCCTGCAGGATCATACTGGTTCTAGGGAGCATTGGAGAATATTATCCAGCGGTATGAGACCTCCATAGGAAACTCTCGAGAGAAATTGCTTCCCCAAGAACTTAAGATCAAACATTACTGCTGAGTAGTGTTCTGGTAATTTAATAAAATATAGAAGAATTCCTAGGCCACTGTTCCCAATCATCACCAAGTAGTGGCACTACACCCACAACGTAGTACCACAGTTGGATGCAGTCATCTGCTACTTGATGCATGCAAAATTTCACGCACAAGTGAATAGGTATTATAGGGAGGGATCAAGGATTGTGCTTTTTATATGAGCTCAAAGACTTTCAAAGGTAAATACTGAAAGTACTACACTGTATATCTGAAATGGAGGTGAAGTGATGTAATTACCTAAACCAGAATAGGGGAAGGCTCGCCTGAATTGTAGAGCAGTGGCAAAGATTCGTGCATGTCCCACAGCAACCATTAATGTGAGAGTGATGGTGAGAGCACAGGACTCCCTGCCAGAAGCAAATGAATACTTACCTCAGAACAAGCATGCTTGTGCCTCCAGCAGGGAAGCATCGATATATAACGGGTAGTGAAGATATAGCTGCACCTCCAAGTTGGAGGACATGGCAGAGAAGAATAACTTGAATGTGGCAAACTTATAGCAGTTATCAGCTCCAGATAAATCTGTGTTTCTATGAAGCAGCTGGGGGAGATGTCTTTTAGTACAGTGTGAGGGTTAAGGAAGAGGGACTCGACAGCAAGTAGCAAGAAGCCAGAAGATAGTAATGCAGGTAATGCAAGGTTATAATACATTACACGAGCCACAAAGCAACCCTGAAAAATTACAATGCCCTGGCAAAAAGATAACTCTACCATGGATTTGAATGTGTCTCTCCCCCAAAAGAACCACTGATCAAAGCACACATGACCATTATCAAGTCATCAACGTACACAGTTCAGAAACTGTTTTGCATCTCCAGAGAAAACAGGAAAAATTATGCCACACAAATCCTCTCCACATATTGGAAGTCCAATGTGTGTCATCAAAGACTTTGCTAGCTGTTAATGATGAATGAATAGTACGAGTATTTAAAAATGGTTAAAAAAAAATCTCCAACATCCTCTGGAAAAAAGAAGGCAGCAGTAACAAGTGAAAATCATAAACTGTCTCCAACCTGCAGTGAATGACCAGAGTGACCATTTTGGCCAAAGCTACAGTTGCTACAACTACAGAAAGGTCACTCGCTTTATGCCTAAAATCTAAGTTTGATTTAGACTATTGTACACCTATTTAGTCCAGTCATCATTGTAATGATCTGTGTAAGTAGTTACGAATAAAGCTTCTGATTCTGATAATGATAATGTCTATGTGCTCTGCTGTTATAACACATAATTAGTGTACTGTCATGTTTATGTAAAATTTCTCAAATATAAATGTACAGTCATTTATGAATAAAAAAAATATTTAATTGATTTGATTTAATTTGAAGAGAGGCAAAATAGGCAGACCCAACCAGACATTTATCAGTCTCCATAATGGGTTGGTGAATCATCTCAAAGCATACCCTCTTATCCATAATGACATATGAGCAGGAAATCTGGTTGCCAAGGCTTTTATCTTTCGGCTACCACAATCCTAACCATATCAAAGCCAGGACAGATCAGCACAGCGAAATTGTTGGAGGTGGCGACTAGAAACTTTTTAAGTCGGCATGTCAAGGGTCCCACGAGAATGAGAGGCAATGATGAACTAGCAAGACTCGACCTAGTATTCACTGAACGATTCAGACATAAGGGAAATCGGTCTTGAAGCCCCCCCCCATGGGTATGAGTGATCACAGTGTAATGTTGTTTATCTGGTCGAAGAAGGGTTAATGTACTCGAGGAAGGGACCAAAAAGCAAGAGGCCAGCATTCTGGAAGGGAAACTATGAGGAGATGAGAACATTCCTAACTGAAATAGCTTGGGATATAGAGCTCAGAGGAAAGACGGTTCAAGACATGATGGACTACATCACACAGAAGTGTAAGGCGGCAGCAGACAAGTTTGTCCCAGTCCATAAGGAAAAAAATTATATGCAGATGAGAAACCCATGGTTTAATCAGAGTTGTAAGCCAGCAAAGCAGCTAAGTAAAAGGGCGTGGAGAAACTATAGAAACAACAGAACACCAGAGTGCAGCAAAAGATACCAAAGCGCCAGGAATGAATACGTCGGGGTGAGAAGAGAGGTAGAGAGGCAATATGAAAATGACATAGTGAGCAAGGCAAAGACTCAACCCAAACTACTGCTGCATAGCCACATCATGAGGAAAACAACAGTGAAGGAACAGGTAATGAAACTGAGTATAGGGGCAGAAAGAATCACTACAAATGACAAGGAAGTGTGCGAGGAACTCGATAAGAAATTCCAGGTCTTCACCTCAGAGCAAGGAGAAGTCCCAAAGATAAGAGAGGGAACATCAAACCAGACACCACTAGAGAAATTTGTGATTACCAGTGGGGAGGTGAGGAAGGCTATAGGCCCAGATGGAATCTCACCATGGATTCTAAAGGAAGGAGCAGAAGCTCTGTGCCTGCTACTCTCCATGGTGTATAACAAATCACTGGTAACAGGTGAACTGCCAAAAACTTGGAAGATGGCCAATGTAGTCCCAATATACAAGGGCGATAGGCAGGAGGCACTGAACTACAGGCCAGTGTCCCTAACTTGCATTCCATGCAAGATAATGGAGAAGATTGTGCAAAAAAAGCTAGTGGAATATCTGGAGCGGAGGAACTTTGTAGCACAACATCAGCATTGGTTCAGAGATGACAAATCATGCCTAACAGGTTTAATTGAGTTCTGTGACCAGGCAACAATAATCAGGCAAGAGAGAGAGAGGGCTGGGCAGATTGCATATTTCTGGACTGCCAGAAAGCTTTTGACACAGTACCACAGAAGAGACTAGTACACAAACTGGAGATGCAGGCAGGAGTGAAAAGAAAGGTACTCCACTGGATAAAGGAGTACCTAAGCAACAGGACACGAGGAGTCACTGTGAGGGATGAGGTCTTGGAGTGGCGGGGAGTCACCAGTGGAGTCCTACAGGGATCAGTCCTTGGACCTATAATGTTTCTGATATACATAAATGATCTCCCAGAAGGAATTGTCTCGTTCCTCTCGATGTTTGCTGATGACACAAAAATTATGAGGAGGATCAAGACAGAGGAGGATACAGTAGTATGAGGCTACAAGACGACCTAGACAAACTGAAGGTATGGTCCAACAAATGGCTACTAAAGTTCAACCCAAGTAAATGTAAGGTAATGGAACTAGGAGGCCAGTCACTGGATACCAAATGGGAGATGAAGTCCTTCACGAAACGGACAGAGAGAAAGATCTAGGAGTTGATATCATGCCAAACTTGTCCCCTGAAGCCCACATCAAAAGAATAACATCAGCGGTCTATGCAAGGCTGGCTAACATCAGAACTGCTTTCAGAAACCTGTGTAAGGAATCCTTCAGAACCTTGTATACCACATATGTAAGGCCAATCCTGGAGTATGCAGCCCCAGCATGGAGCCTGTATCTAGTCAAGCATAAGACGAAGCTGGAAAAAGTTCAGAGATATGCCACTAGGTTAGTCCCAGCGCTAAGAGGCACGAGTTATGAGCACAGACTACGTGAACTGCACCTCACATTGCTGGAAGACAGAAGAGCTAGGGGGAGACATGATCACCACATACAAAATTCTCTGGGGAATTGACAGGGTGGACAAGGATGGATTATTTAACACTGGTGGTACACACACAAGGGGACACAGGTGGAGGCTGAGAACCCAAATGAGCCACAGAGATATTAGAAAGAACTTTTTCAGTGTCAGAGTAGTTAATAAATGGAATGCACTAGGAAGTGATGTGGTGGAGGCAGACTCCATACACAGTTTCAACTGTAGATATGACAGAGCCCAGTAGGATCAGGAATCTGTACATCAGTTGATTGACAGTTGAGAGGCGGGACCAAAGAGCCAAAGCTCAACCTCCGCAACCACAACTAGGTGAGTACAGCCATGTAAGGCAACCAAGCAGGCTATAGATAAGCTCCATTTTGATAGAAAATAATCTGGCTTCAGATATGTTTACCTGACAAGAAGAAGCAAGTGAAAAAATCGCCTAAATATTGCATACAGTATTTACAGTTTACAAAAATATTACAATTGCAGTCACATCTGGATCATATAAAGGTGAGATAATGATAAAATTGAAGACTTTATACTGTATACACATCTGTGTGCCACCACGAGTTGCAGACACTGTGGTGGGAAAACTTGAAATAGTCATTTAACGGTCAGCAACCCACACCATGTCTAAAGCTGGTCGGTAGTAAAAGAAAACAGCATTCCACCCAGTGTTGCTGGTCAGGAGTTCTGTGACCTTGGTTTCATAATTAGCAGTGTTATTCTGCAATCTTGTTTAATCTTGAGTGCTGGGAGGGGTTTGGAGTTCTAAATGAGTTCTCTATCATGCGTCTTGATGCTGGATTGAATGTTCTCCAACACTTCTTGATTTAAGTATTTTCCTGCAGGTCTGTTGAAACTGACACTGAAACAAACTGAAACTTTGTCACTTGATACATTGCCCTATGTATCCTGGTCATTAGGCCCAGTTAGATCTTATCTTATGGAGCAACTGATGGGATTAGCTCAGAAAGATAAACTCTACATTGTACTGTATATGGATGATGCAAGACTACATAACAGACAGATGTGTTGGCATAGGGTACCAAAAAAAATGGAAATTAATGTAATGCCAATTACTGAATGAGCCATGGTGGCTCCCTGAAGCTAATATACTGATATTCTGTACAGTAGTGCCAAACTACTAGGTGCCATCAGTCACGGAGTTCTGTTTGCCTACAAGGTAAGATCACTTGATGGCCCTTAAGAGTCACTTGATGCAGCAATCTAGGTAAGATTTTACTCAGAAAACATCTCGGGTTCTGAGATGTTTCCACGAAAAAATCCACGAGCCATAACCTGGCCCTCTCAGATAGGCATAGGGAGCAGTGGCTCTAATTTTGTTTTTTTGTTTTTTTAAATTTATTCATGTCTGCCACCACCAAGGAAAGGCACCCAGAAAGTCAGTGAAACAAAACAGATCGCTGTTTGATTAGAAATGAGACTGCAGCCCCAAAACTGCCAAAAGAACTTTCCCCAACATTGTAATCAACAATGTGTGTAACTAGCGCGATCTAGTTACACAAATTTATTTTCTGGGTGCCTTTCATTGGTGACTGACAAGAAAACATTTACATATACAAATTACTCATAGAGCCACTGCCCCACGCTTCTCTGAGGGGGCCAGGTTCTGGCTTGTGGTCCCCAGTAGGCCAATAAGAACTCCATGACTGATGAAACCTAATAGTTTGGCACTGTGTCAGTATACTAGCTTCAGGGAGCCACAAGAGACTTCCCCCAGAAATACAGAATAGGTTGGACATTAGAATGGATGTCATAGTATTTCAAAGGAAGATGTACAAGTCGACTATAATCATGGATTCCCGACTTGATAAGAGTTGTCTAGCAGATTTTATGTCTGTTGGTGTTTTGGGAGGCACAAGTTACTAAATATAGATAAAACACTTCTTACAGTACTGTACTCTGTCATCTTGTCCTGTTGCTTCCACACTTCCTATACTTGCAGACACTAACCTTATTCTTTCCAGGCATGCTTGTGCTTCAGTGCAAATTAGAGATGAGTGCAAAAGTTCCCTGATAACCAAACTAGCTTCAAGAATTTTATGACTAATGTTTCAAATACTTCATTTTTTTACTTGACGGCATTTTATATGGGAATAAATTATACACGAGGGGGCCACCCCTTTTAGGAAGCTGGGTGCTGAGAGAGAGCAACATTCAGGATTTGGATATACTGTATTGGAATATAGTACAGTATATGTTGTCATAATATGTATTCATAGCATCATATTAATATGAGGATTTTGTGAGAAATAATAAATTATTTTCGAGGAAGGGGTAAAGATAGTAATGGTGTGGAAATGAAGGCGATAATTAGAATTATGCGGCGGGATAGATTGTTTTGAAAGCTGTGAATCATGTTATCAATAGGTAAGGTGAATATCTTAAGTTAGAAATGAAGAAAATGCTATACTGTATTAGCATGTTTTGGAAAGACTGGAGTTGGTGGAAGATCAGTTTAACATTACTAAGTATAAAACAATAGAGAAGCTGTGAATAGGTAAATACTCGGTACAGAGGTTTGTAACCAGGTGGAAATTTTGCCCAGGGCGGAAGAGTTAATTGGGACCACAGACTCAAACTGTTGGAATACTAATGAATATTCAAGTTTTAAAATCCATCAACATTCTTATTGCTATTAAATTTGTCAAACTCTACAATAAAAATAATCATATTAAATGTATATGTACCAATATAGAAAATATACTGAATTTTCAATATTATATGTATATTATTTGGAATGCAACCTTTGAGTCAGACCCATCTTGGAAATGGGAACATTCTGACATACGGTGAAAAGGGTGCACGAGTAAAAACCGTAAGGGGAGGGTGGGGGGAGTGGTAGCAGGTGAATACCAAGAATTAATGAAAGGAACGAATGTTGTTATGGGTTTTAAGATGAGGGACTGAGATAATGGAATTGAAGCTTGGGTACAGAAAGGGGGTAGCGCTGTAGTGTGCAAGCATTGGTAATTGGCTTTTTGAGAAAAGCCACTGGTCTATGTGGCATAGATATAGCAAAGGAGTACATAAGTACAGTACATAGTATGAGCAAAAGGGATGAGGAACTTAAATGTGGAGTGCATGAAACACAATACATTTAGAAGTATGGTGTTCCAAACACAATGTTTGTAGAATGCCTTGGAAATATTTAGCAAGAAGGGTATACAAGGGTGAAATTAGGGAATGATAAGGAATCAAGCATGGCAGGAAGGGGTCAACTTGCTTGAAAGTGAAAAGTTTGATGGGTGTTAAGAGTCTCCTCGAGAAACTGGTTATGACTGCCCCTTAATCGGTTTTTATTAACCAATAAAACCTAGAAAGGAAGTAAGGCATCATAGCTACATATATATACTGTATATAGATACTGTAGTATCAAGAATATTTTAGGAAGTTATTTTTCAATTGTTCACCAGCACAAGTTTTTAAACGATACAATAATCCTGAGACAACATTACATTTACATGTCATGTGTTCCAAGTATCATCCTGTGGAGGGAAAGGATTCCCTTGTTCCCCTCTGTGTAGCCTTAGATTTTGTTCCAAAGGCTTACCACCAAATTCACTTCAGATTAATTACCTAAACATTCTCTCCAGCATCATGAAGTGAATAAGTTGCCCTTATTGTGGAGGCCGTGACCCCATCACACACACAATGGTTGACACGAGCCGTTTGCTAATGTCCACATTTTGGTACGGAATTTATAAATATTAAAGAATTAGTACGTGTTCAAGAAAATAGACTCTCACCAAACAGCTGAGATAGATTAAGAATGGTATGTGAAGAGTTGTATACACAGGTATTGTAATACACAGTTACAATACTGTGAATTAAATGTCATCTTTAATCTGGTTTTATAAATTAACGTTTGCAAGAACCTCAGCCAGCACATTTAAATGATATTGTGAATGTTGTATTTTTAATTACAATACAGTATTTTTTACAAAAAGCTGCATTTCAATTTAATCCCTGTATGTATATTAACCTAAACTTTGTCCTCATATCCCTTCAAAGTGCTATATAATCACACAGTACTGGCAGAGTACTTTTTCCTTATGCATTAAGTACATCAATTAAATCACGTCCCCTAAAATCTATGGTAACAAACTGGTACCATGTGATGTGCCCCTGTATTAAATAATTGTAAGGTATGAGCTCTGAAATTTGTTTTTGTAACAAGAGTACTTTAGTTTATTAAAGAATTGGGGCACAATGGTTTAACGCAACACTTCAGAATACTGTACTGTATTGTATTGCTTTTGTTTAAAATTCAGAAGTGAACACCCTGGCTTAATAGGATTGTAGCTCTTGGAATTATCATAAAGTAAGGAGGTAGCTTTACTCTCACTAGAGGGGCAGGTACAGTTTACAGTAAGTTCACATCAGGTTTTAATATTTTTTAATATTTGTTTAGGAAAATGGCAGAGTACAATGTTATATTTAATCATCTTTATTAGAATATAAATAAAGTGCAAGTATGTGTATTTTCATATCACACTTGAATGTCACACAACTGTAGAAAAAAGGAACCATAAATTGAAGATTTAACCAATTTACAATAATTTAATTAAATTCAAATATATTTAACAAATACAAACACATCTAAGTACAGAGGAATGCCTCAAATTACTTAATACTTTTGTGAATAACCAGTTCCTTATTAGCTCACCAGTTGTCAATATATTTAACTTATAAATAGTATACAATAATTATTTAAAGGGAACAGAAGTGGATATGCATACAGTAGTTTTGTAAAGAAAGGCACTCACTACACAATTTATCATAGCCAATTGTTGAATATATTTACAAGAAACCTGAGGAAACATCTGCAAATTTCCTTGAAAACTTTAGCTTTACAGCCGTATGTAAATGTGATAAAACTGCATAAGTCAACTTATAGTGGGACAAGATCAGCCATCAGGAATTATCTATATAATGTATATAGAAAGCTTAACAGTAAGTCTTTTTTAAGCATCTTGTCATTTTGTACAGGGCAGTGGTGTTGTAAAGCCAACTTCACTGTTGGTGGTGGTGGTGGTGGTGGTGATGGCTCACACTGCTACTTGCAGTCTCCATCTTAACACCGTGTTGTGGGGGTGCTGCGTGCACTATGACTTGACCATGACTTATGTGTGTGTGATTCGCCTCAACTGGCATAGCAGATGAGTGAGTTACCACTATGTTTCCTTGACTAACACTCTGATTCACCACATGAGCCTGGGACACCACTACCTGGCCATCCAGTGCTGCAACTTGCTGTTCCAGTTCATCACCGATGCTGTCAGCTAGAATAACTTGGTCAGCAGTTACTTGTGAAATCACTTGGCCTGTGGTAGGATCAATAGTGACTATGTGAGCTCCTTGAAGGAGATCGGGCGAGACATCCTGGGAGAGTACCACCTGTGTAACGCCTTCAGGCAAATTGATCTGACCTCCCAGTACCCCAGCTACGTGCTGCAGCACCATCTGGCCATCACCAACATCTACAGCCTCTACTTGTGCCACCTGACCAGCCTGGCTCACCTGTACATGTCCCTGAGCTGCCTGTTCATGTGGTACAAAGTGGTGAGACACTAGAGGCACTTGTTCATTCATTATGTCATCCATCATCTCTTCAACACTCTTACCAGCAGTATAAAACTCTTCCATTTGTTCCATTGTAACTTTCCATTCAATTAACCGCCATAAGTTGTACTTGAGTACTTCGTATTGCCCTTGACCATAGTCTTCAATCATCTTTACACCATAATGCTGCAGAACCCTACCCAGCACTACAGATACATGCTCTTCTAACAGTCCACAGCCAAGAAGCAAGTCATGATCAAATAACTTTTCCAACAATCGTCGACATTTCATGTCCAATGTATCAGCCATGATAGTTTCTGGATGTGATTGTTCAACTACTGATACTACTGATGAAATTGGGGTGCTGATTTCATTCTTTACTCTATGCCCTTCACATTCTACTGGAATGGTTTTACCAACCTGTGGAAGAAGCCCTGCTAATTTATTCATATTAACTTTGACACCAGAGCTGTACACATCAGTAACAGTTGTGGTCACTGGTGCTATTTCACGAGTTACTATGGTCATGACTGGATGAGGACCTGTGTAACTGGTAACTGCAGCACTAGAACTGACTGCTGCTGGTTCTAAGCCATCGTCTTCATCATCGTCATCCCACTCTGATCGTAATGCTGCTATCTCCGGATTTTCAGGCTCCAAAGGTGGTGCAGGATTTGGCATAATTGTTGGTTGACTGGTGCTGGGAATTAACTTGCTGGAACCACGACCTGGTTTCACATCCGGGGAAAAAATTGCCTTATTTTGATGTACTGACTCTATGTGACGATGAAGCTTGCCTTCAAATCTAAATTCTCTACTACACAATTTACAGGAGTATGTGGGAATACAAAATGACATCAATTCAACAGGCGGTGAAACTATATTGCCAGAGTTATTAGACGTCACAAAGTAGTCTTCCTTCTTTGCCTTGTTACTAAGAGGGTTAGCTGTAATATCAACAGGGTAAGAACCAACCCGATTGCCAACTTTCATTTTAGGTTCTTCTAACCTATTCTCTATTCTCATTCTTTTAACACCATGATCTTGGGATTTCTCTGGATTGCTGACCATATTGTGACCTGTATTTGTCATATTAACTGGCCGCTTCTCTGGTTGTCTTGTAATATCTTTTAATATTTGCTTCACTGGTTCGTAAAATGCAACAGGTACAACTTTTCTCGCCGGTACTACTACTTCAGGTTTCTCTGGAGAATCTTTTTCCTTCACCTTAACTTTAACTTTGATTTGGGTCTTCACACCTGGCTTTGGTGAGGAGAAGCATGTTTCACAGTTCTTCATATTACATACAAAATCTTTTCCATGCTGCTTGTTTTTGGCCAAACGTTTACCTCGCCCCTCTGTTTCTCCCTCATCAGGTGTAATGTTTGTATTTTTTACATCTGCTCCACTGTTCGTTCTTGAATCTTCAGTCTCTGAAGTGTTTGAACCCTTGACCTCTAATGGATCAGCGACCAAGAGGTTTTTCATCATACTTTTTCTTATCGCACGCAATTCAGCAGCCCCTGACAGTCCATATGGACTGTACTTCTTACCTCTCCCTCTCCCTCTCCTTACGGGCATGTAAGTATTTTCACTTCTAGCTGTAAGGCCTGGCATATTTAAAATTTGGTTATTATTTTCACTCTCTTGTGCTTCATCTGCTCTATTTCCTTCTCTTATTATTGGTTCCATTGTTTGTCCATCTTGTGATTCCTCTTGAATTTCTACTCTGTTAATGGCATTAAATTGTGGAGAAGTATCTTGCGAAGCCCCTTCCTGGTCTTCTCTTTCAATACTGGCCACTTTCTCTCCCACGTCACTTTCCTCTTCCAGTACCGTCTCTTCTAATCTTGAATCTGGTGATTTTGTAACTAAACCTTGTTTGGCCATAGATGAAACCACTTCTTGTAATACTCTATGTGCATCTTGTGTACCCTCTTCAACATGCTCTTGAGATGGTTTTGAGCTTCCTTGAACTATTGCATCAAATGCTGCATCTTGTATTGGATCAGATGCCATTTCTGAATCAGGCATAGCAAAAACTTTTCTATCTATATGTTCGTCTTCTCCTGTCTGTTGCTGCTGGTCCTCCTCTTCTTCATCCGAACTGTAATTGCGGTCCATACCTTCATCAAATATATCATTCTCATACATGTCATCATCTGCTGGACGTGGTGTAGGGGGTGCAGAGACCTGTGTGCTTGCAGACACCTGTCCTTGATACTGCCGTGGAATAATGACACGACCACCTTCTTCGTCCGTTTGAGTTGAGGTTGTGCACATTACCTTCTTAGATCTTCGGGATTTTGGTTTGCTATTCAGTGCATCTTTGGGAGCTTTGAATATCTGTGGTGCAAGGCCAGTTTGCCTGAGTTCTCCATCCAGAAGATTGCCAACTGTGGGCAGTTTATCGAGAATACTACCATCAGCCACAGCACCGTGATTCCACTGGACATGCCGTTCATAATCACTTAACCGGATAAATGAACGAGGACAATGTTCACACTTGAACATCCGAGGCCCCAATTTTTTGGTAAAATGTTCATCAGTTACTTTTGTATGACGTTTGATGTGGGTAATGAGGTGATTTTTCTGAGTGAAACATTTACTGCAGAGATGACATTTGAAGGGCTTCTCACCTCTGTGAATGCGAAGATGAATATTTAAAGCCCCAACTGTGAGAAAAGCTTTGTGACACACATCACAATATACACATTTACTTTTGTCATGGAGACGCATGTGTACCTTAACACAATCTTGACGACTGAATCTTTGGTGGCAAACAGGACACTCAAACTGCTTTTCAATTCCATGTACTACCAAGTGTCCTTGAAGATGTACTTTGCGGGCAAACGATTTAGGGCAATGTGGGCACTGGAATGGCTTCAGATCAGAATGTATGGCCATGTGTTGTACAAGTGTCTTTCCTGTCATCATCACTTTGCCACAAATTTCACAAGAAACAGGCATTTCCAAGGTTTGATTACCACTAAATGTTGAAGGGCCTCCAGGCTCTTGTTTGATGGATGCCAAGCCACTACGTGCTCCCCTGCCTCTGCCCCGGCCCATGGGTTTGCTTGGTCTCATAAGGTCTTGTGGAGAGAATATGATAGTGCCTGGTGGTGGTTCCATTCCTTCAAGGGTGTGAAATTCACTTTCCATGTCTGGGAAGTCCTGAAATAATTTAGAATTATAAGCATGACATCTATTATAAAAAAAATTAAACAAACAAATTTACTATATTATTGGTGACACATTTAACCTTTAAACTGCACATCATAAGGGGGGCAGGGAAGTGAAAAATATTTGAATTATGTAAAATTTCTTACAAAACGTTAAAACAAATCTTCGACTTATTGGCTTCAGTGTCATGAAACTTTCATCAAAATATTTTCAGAAATTGATTTTAGACTAATGTTTTTGTTGATAAAGAGAACAGCTCCTATTAAGTGGAACTAATGGATAAAGCAATAATAAAGAGATGCAAGCACCTGTCTGATGCACAGAGAAGAACAATAGTAGTAAGAAGTGTCCACAAAGTGGATATACAGTTGGTGCCTTTATAGCATTGCTGAGTAATACATAATAACACAAATAATAATAAATAAATATGATATTATGTTCTATTTTGTTATATATCAACCTGTTACCTGATCAACCAGGCTGCGACTCATACGTCAGGCTGCGAGCAGCCGCGTCTAACAGCCTGGTTGATCAGTCCAGCAACCAGGAGCCCTGGTCGACGACCGGGCCGCGGGGACACTAAGCCCCGGAAGCACCTCAAGGTAGCCTCAAGGTATATCATATAAATACATTCTCCAATGTTATTATCAGTTACTTTCAACAACGTCCAAAAAATATTTATTTAGGGGAATTTTTTTTTTTTTAAGTTTTTAGTTTTTTCTTTGTTTATTATTTGAATTTATTATAAGCTTTACATCGTGCAGAGTGCATGCCTTCCCCTAACTATATGAAGACAAAATTAAATTGGTCAACAAATAAATCAGTCACAACTCTCAAAAGTTGGCACTTTGATTTTTTGGGGCTGATTTTTGTCAGATTTCAAACTCTATTTTCCTTGTTTCTTTAGGTTGTTTTGATGATTAGGGACCACATTAGGGCTTTTTGACTTATATAAAGTATACCCTAAATATATATCCCCTAAATCATTATAACTTATAATTATCCCAATATTTAGTGTTTTGGAGGGTTATTTTTTCTTGATTTCATTTCAACACACACTGACCTACAACTTTCACATATTTGAGTACGAATGCCAAACAATGTTTATTAAAACATACAAGTAAATTAATAAATTAGAACGGCCTCATTCATTGTCGATAACTTCAACTTCAATTATACCTGTAAGTAGAATTTCAACTTACAGTGGCACCTCGACTTACAATTGCCTTGACTTACGATAATTTCGAGTTAAGATATAAATTTGATTGGAAAATGTGACTCGACTTACGATAGTGTCTTCGACTAACGATATTTGTTGATACACGTTCGGGTCAACCGAGCGCATGGTTCCCGGTCGCGTGGGCTGACCTGCCTCAGTTTACTAGAGTCGTCCGCTTAGTAGCAATCATGCTTATAAAAAATTATATTTTTGGGGCGATTTTTTGCTTTTTGAACATAAAACTGATTATTATATATCACGCCATGGGTCCCAAGAAAGTCAGGGAAAGGGTTCAACATATGAAAACACATGAAAGGAGGACCATAAAGGCTGTACAGAATATCCCTTCCTCAAAAATTAAGAAAATGTGTGCAGCATGGGAAGAACCGTAAACTTTTGCTGAAACGACTCGCCAAAATCAAGTTGCAGTAGGCCGTTGCCTTAACCTTTTCAATGACACTGTGATGCATCACTACAGACATATGTTAACACGGGTTTTGAAATGGTCAAAGGATTGGCAGATGCAGTTTAATGCTGATAAATGTAAAGTTCTGAGGTTAGGTAATGATGATAGAGTTACAAGATACGAGCTAGATGGTGTTGTGATTGCGAAGTCGGATTGCGAAAGGGATCTGGGAGTTATGATTAGTAAGAATTTAAAACAAAAGGATCAATGCATAAATGTTCGTAATAAGGCAAATCGGACACTTGGATTTATTAATCGCAGCGTTAGTAACAAGACACCTGGTGTGGTTCTCAAGCTATATCTTGCTCTAGTTAGGCCCCATTTAGATTATGCAGTTCAGTTTTGGTCGCCATATTATAGAATGGATATAAATTCACTTGAACGTGTCCAGCGTAGGATGACTAAGTTAATTCCCCAAATTAGAAATCTTTCATATGAAGAAAGATTAACAAAGCTTAAGTTGCATTCACTGGAAAGGCGAAGAGTTAGGGGTGACATGATAGAGGTTTACAAGTGGATGAATGGACATAACCGGGGGGATATTAATAGGGTATTAAAAGTATCAACACAGGACAGAACACGAAACAATGGATATAAATTGGATAAGTTTAGATTTAGGAAAGACTTGGGTAAATACTGGTTCAGTAACAGGGTTGTTGATTTGTGGAACCAATTGCCGCGTAACATTGTGGAGGTGGGGTCCCTCGATTGTTTCAAGCACGGGTTGAACAAGTATATGAGTGGGATTGGGTGGTTATAGAATAGGAGCTGCCTCGTATGGGCCAATAGGCCTTCTGCAGTTACCTTTGTTCTTATGTTCTTATGTTATGTTCTTAACACTTTCGCCCGGGCATGACACAGCATTGCGTCATCCGTTTACTGGCGGTAATACCGGGGATGACGCAGCATTGCGTCATCCACTTTAAATAATCGCCAAAAATCAGGTTTTTATCCGATTTTTTTGGGACTGGTTTTAAAATGCGTGCCGATGTCTTCCCAATTTCTTTGTTGAGCCTCGTGGCCCTCAGGCGGCTTGGCACACGCCGTGGGCCCATTGTTTTCGCTCCACTGTTGTGACCAATGTTGCCTCCCCTCGCATCTCAAAACGTGTGAACATTTCGGCTATTTTCCATGGCTATATTTCTTACTGCGGCTTTAGAAACTATCTACGCTTACTCCACGATGGATAGTGATCATGAACAAGGCCCTTCCAGGAAGAAAATTGCGAAAGAAAGGCTTGAAAAGGGCAGGAATTGGGAGTGTAGCTGGAAGGCATCTGAGCGCTCACTTGCGGCTAACGCGTGGCCCGTCTTCAACTCGTCGGCGGTTGGAGCGTGACCAGGTTTTTTATTTTATATGCTAATGTTCCTATAGAGAATTCTATTGCGAACCCATTGAGACCAAAATGAAAGACCTAGGACGAAAATTGAGGTGACCAGAGTGAAAATAGTGAAAACATTTTATCGCGTTTGCGTGCTCCTGGGTAACTCGTTCACACTTTCTGTTTGCTGCGGGTAATTAGCCGGGCTTTTGGAGTTTATATGCATTTAGTGCTGTAGAGAATTCTATTGCGAACACAATGATACAAAATTTAATCTCGTAGGACGAGAATTAAGGTGACAAAGTTGAAGAGAGTATACACTTTTCAGAATTTAGGCACGCTCCCGTGACACCCTGGGTCCCATATCGCACAGTTGAGGGGTGGCTGGCGGGGTGCGCAAAAGTGTTAAAATGAAGGGAAAAACAAGTGTTGCTAGACAAATTTTTAGTGAGACAAACTAGCAGTGAACCACAACCAGGTCCTAGTAGTATGCAGGCAAAACGTAAGAGAGAGTTTACCCCAGAGAAATCATCACTGCCTGATGTTATAATGGAAGCGGACTCCCTTTCCAAACAGTAACACCTCTCCTCCTACCAACTTCTCACCCTCTTCCATACGCCAACAGGAGTCCTCAGTAAAGGTAAGTAATAACTTGTACATACTTTTGTAGTGAAGATTTGGGTGAATTAGATACAAAATTTACTTTGAAGTTAATTTTGTGGGGAGTCAGCAACGGATTAATTCATTTCCTTTTATTTTTATGGGAAAAATCTTTTCGACTTACGATATTTCGACTTACATATTTCAGTATCTGGGAACGGATTACCATCGTAAATCGAGGCCCCCACTGTACTTCAGTATCCAAAAATCTAGTTTCTGACAGATTCTCCCCATTTTTACATAAAGTGTGCACAGCTGTCTGTTCAACAATCCCTATAGAATTGATTTTTCATAAACTCTAAACATTTGGAGTTTTAAATGTTTGTCTAAATTTGCACATACAGTGGTACCTTGCATAACGATTGCCCCAAAAGACGAATATTTATTCTGGGTAATAACGAACGGCCCGATCGGCGTCAAATAATTATTATTTATTTTCTTGTCCCATATGACGAACGCTGGTTTGAGTAACGTCAACACCACATGGTGGGGTCGCGCTGCTTCTTGCACATTCTTAGACGCCTCCGACGATGCACATAAAATATGTTGTTCTTGTTTAAAGATGCTAATGATGCTGGGATATAAAGGGGTGACTGCTGAGATGTTTATCTGCAAAGCATTGACGTTTTTGTAGGAAAAAAGAAATGAAATGTCTGATATACAACAAATGTCAAAAAGGTTTGTTCGGTGTTCGGCAGGTAGAACAGTCAGGGATTGAATGCCAACCTGCATGAAGCCAGACTGTTGCTCTACTGTCCAGCTCAAGTCATTGGGCAAGAAGGCCAAGAAGAGAAATTAAATCTGCAAGGGGCACAATAGTCAAGTCATAATAAATTTGCATATGAAAACTAAAGCTCTATTGATGTCTATACTGGTATTGTCATTTTAACCAATATCGGTCTTTTTCAGTATTCTATGTTAATACGTTATATTTATAGATCAGAATTTCAGAACTGATCTACAATACATGCATGCACATACATACATTACATAAATGTATTGAGGTTTCCCCCCAAGGGTAAACTACTGACCCTCACCCAGGATGTAACCCCACAACAGTTCCTTAACTCCCAGGTATCCATTTGCTGCTAGGTGAACAGAGGAAACATGCTCAACCATTTGTCCCACCCAGGAATCAAACCCACGATCCCCGATTGTGAGTTGAGAACGAAGCCAACTGTACTACAAAACCCTTGAGACTTACAAGACATGGCAAGACATGTCTTGTAAGTACACAAAGTATTTTCAACATAAGAATTATTTTGAGACACAGACCTACAAAGTCCAGATGAGTACTTCATCACTGCCTGATGTTATAATGGAAGCGGACTCCCTTTCCAAACAGTAACACCTCTCCTCCTACCAACTTCTCACCCTCTTCCATACGCCAACAGGAGTCCTCAGTAAAGGTAAGTAATAACTTGTACATACTTTGTAGTGAAGATTTGGGTGAATTAGATACAAAATTTACTTTGAAGTTAATTTTGTGGGGAGTCAGCAACGGATTAATTCATTTCCTTTTATTTTTATGGGAAAAATCTTTTCGACTTACGATATTTCGACTTACATATTTCAGTATCTGGGAACGGATTACCATCGTAAATCGAGGCCCCCACTGTACTTCAGTATCCAAAAATCTAGTTTCTGACAGATTCTCCCCATTTTTACATAAAGTGTGCACAGCTGTCTGTTCAACAATCCCTATAGAATTGATTTTTCATAAACTCTAAACATTTGGAGTTTTAAATGTTTGTCTAAATTTGCACATACAGTGGTACCTTGCATAACGATTGCCCCAAAAGACGAATATTTTGGGTAACGAACGGCCCGATCGGCGTCAAATTGTCCCATATGACGAACGCTGGTTTGAGTAACGTCAACACCACATGGTGGGGTCGCGCTGCTTCTTGCACATTCTTAGACGCCTCCGACGATGCACATAAAAATATGTTGTTCTTGTTTAAAGATGCTAATGATGCTGGGATATAAAGGGGTGACTGCTGAGATGTTGCAAAGCATTGACGTTTTTGTAGGAAAAAAGAAATGAAATGTCTGATATACAACAAATGTCAAAAGGTTTGTTCGGTGTTCGGCAGGTAGGCTGCTCCATTATAACAATCTTTGTTTCAAATGTGTTCCATTTGTTTTGTATTTGTCATTTACGTCTCAATAATGGAGAAGCCTACCTTACATACACTGAATAAACCATTATGACATTTTCCTTTCTTCAAATGTGTTCAATATTTATTTTTCATTTGTCTTATAGCAAAAGGTTCGTTCGGTGGTCGGCAGGTAGGCTGCTCCATGTTTCTTACATACAAAAAAAACGTATATAATAAAAAAAATGAAGAATTTTGAAAACCAGTACAAATGTCAAAAAGGTTCGTTCGGTGGTCTACAGGTCGGCTGCTCCATGTTTCTTAAAAAAAAAAAAAAAAAAAAACGAAAAATAAAAGAACTGTTGAAACAATTTGAAAAATGGACAAATGTCATAGAGGTTCGTTCAGTGTTTGTTGGGTAGGCTGCTCCATTATTGAGACGTAAGTGACAAATACAAAACAAATGGAACACATTTGAAACAAAGAAAGATTGTCATAATGGAGCAGCCTACCCAACAAACACTGAACGAAACCTTTTGCTATAACGAATATGAAAGACAAGGGCTGCTGGCTGGGTTAGTACTGCGTGAGCAACCATTTGTGGCACATGCCACAAATGCTCTCAACTTCTGGCTCTCAAACACCTGTCCCACACGGTGTTGAAAGACTGTGCTCAGTCGGTGCAATTCAGACCCTATTGTTTGAAGAACATAAGGGTCATAACATTGGCGAAGCTAGGCGCAATAAGGGCTTAACACAACGGTCGGATGCCAGTGATACAGCACCTATGAGGATGATACAGCGAGCATATCCAGGTGTAGCTCTGAGCTCCACCCTTGCCATCTCTAATGTATATAGATGATACATAGATGAATCGTTTTCTGCGTTCAGTGATGATGCATCTGATACAAGTAGCATAGATGAAGTGTTAGCGGCTTCCATGGTGGTGGTGGTGGTCATTGATATTTTCAAGAATACCTGAATCTCTTCCTGACTGATGGACACTCTTTGAGGCTAGCTGAATCTCTTCCTGTGGGGGACCTTACAAAGCGATCTTTTCAAGGCTACCTTACAAATTGAGCTTTTCCTATAATCGTTTCAATACTACTTTATGCTTTACAAGCTTGGCTACATACCACCTACAAGTACTAAAGCCAAGGGTGCACGCGAGTGCGTTATGTGCAAGCACACACAACGAAGAAACAGGAAACGAAAATCTATCTGTAGCTGGTGCAAGGAGAGCAAAGTCGCGCTGTGTACCATGGACTACTTCGTTGACTATTACGCACCTCCAAAGTACTGAGTGTGTAATACAGTGTGTTACTGTGTAAATAGTATGTGAAACTGTACATATTGTAATTTTAGTGAATTTTTACCACGTAATATTGTGACAATAAACATTTATTGTGGACACATTACTGACACATGTATCACAGTTTCATGGAAAATTATGAACATTCTACTGTATACATATTGTAAAGGTCACAAATATGCATCATATACTATAAAAGAAACAAATAAAACCGCATTGGAAATGCATAGAAAAAATATTTGAAAATATATTTGTGGCAACACGCGGTGCTTGAATGGCCTGCGCGACCGTGTCTGGGAGCTTCACACACGGGGCGACCAGCCCCTGATGACGTCACAGCGCACCTTTTCATATTTCAAATGCCATATTGACAAATTTTTTTACAGTAAACTATACTGAAAACCTATATTCTAAATATATGAAAATGAAGATCATATGCTATTCTGAGAGCATAATAACACAAAATTAACAATTGGTGATATTTTATATTTTTGCAGCCGATTTCAAAATCTGAAGTTTTCAATATTCAATTTTATAATTATTATTTATTTTCTTGTTTTTCAAGTTACGCTGGTATCATTTAGACAAAGTTGGAGCATTTGCCTAGTAGATTATGTACAAAACATTTGAAAACAGTTTAAGAAAATTTAAAAAAACCGAGCTCAATGTCACACTTCATATGACATTTTGCGCAGTTTAGGGGTTTAAGACTTTATAACAAACATCACAATCATAAAAACTTCTCATGGTTTGAAATTTTAGCTTGCTTACCTCTTCCTGGCTGGATGCTGGTTGTGGTTCTACAGCAGATATCATCTGTCCATCTGCATTACTGGCAGTAATAATGGTATGCATCTGTTCTTCAACGTCTCCTTCAGCACTGTCGTCCATCAGCATTACTTTCACCTCCCCGCCCCCCATGCCCAACACCTCAATAGAAGATGAAGCCATTGCCTGAAAGTCAAACAAAACTATGGTAGAGTGAGAGAGGAGCAAAACCTTAAAGTCTAAGTGTGCTGGACTTATCTGATGTCAATTAAATTGAAAACATGGTCAATGTAAATTACTGTACAGTACTGTATTAGAAGGTCAAGAAGAGAAGGGAACTATTAGGAGAAAGTGCCATGCTATTACAATTATATAGTACTTTGAAGGGATAAGGATAAGGATTTGGGATGGGATGGGAGGAAGGAATGGCGTCCAACCACTTGAACAGTCAGGGATTGAATGCCAACCTGCATGAAGCCAGACTGTTGCTCTACTGTCCAGCTCAAGTCATTGGGCAAGAAGGCCAAGAAGAGAAATTAAATCTGCAAGGGGCACAATAGTCAAGTCATAATAAATTTGCATATGAAAACTAAAGCTCTATTGATGTCTATACTGGTATTGTCATTTTAACCAATATCGGTCTTTTTCAGTATTCTATGTTAATACGTTATATTTATAGATCAGAATTTCAGAACTGATCCACAATACATGCATGCACATACATACATTACATAAATGTATTGAGGTTTCCCCCCCAAGGGTAAACTACTGACCCTCACCCAGGATGTAACCCCACAACAGTTCCTTAACTTCCAGGTATCCATTTGCTGCTAGGTGAACAGAGGAAACATGCTCAACCATTTGTCCCACCCAGGAATCAAACCCACGATCCCCGATTGTGAGTTGAGAACGAAGCCAACTGTACTACAAAACCCTTGAGACTTACAAGACATGGCAAGACATGTCTTGTAAGTACACAAAGTATTTTCAACATAAGAATTATTTTGAGACACAGACCTACAAAGTCCAGATGAGTACTTGAACTAAATCATATAAAAACACAGCGCAGTATACTGCATTTTTAACATTTTTAAGTGTATACTATACTGCATGCAGTACAGTATACACGTTTATATTTCTCATGCAAAATATAAAGGTGATGATATATTTATCTGAAAACAAATAAGATTTCAGGTAAAGAAAGGTTTTGAGAAACGAACTGCAATCTGCATATTATAAAAGGGCAACTTATATGTGACTTGATATAATCTTGTCATTCTATTGACACCCAGAGCTAAAGAAATATCAAAGTTGGATCAATGTGCCCAGTTTTAGTGCTTGTCTGGGCTTTCCCACATATACACTCCACAAATATACTGTACTTTTCACCCCAGGCATTTTTGGACAGTCCCACCCTCCTTTATAATTCACCTGCCTTACCCCATAAAACAATGGATAATAATGCTGGATACAATTATAAAAATTACATAATACTGTAATAGCATTGACTCATAAAAAAAATAAGTACAGTAAAATATTTACATTATATGGCATAAGCATGAAACCAGGAGGGTGAAGCTCTTAAACTTACAAGGTCATTAGGTGCGTGCGTGTATGCGTGGATGTGCGTGTGTAAATTGAATGAGATAAGGAACACTCAAAAGAAAGTGCCAGGCCCCTTAGGACTACATAGCACCATCTGTCTCAGAGGCCTTGTAGTACAGTTGGCTTACAGGTATTCTCAGCTCACAATTGGGATCCTGGGTTCAATTCCTGGGCAGGACAGAAATAGTTTGGCATGTTTCCTTTCACCTAATGCAATAATGTTCCCCTCATGTTCATCTACCAATAAATAGGTACCTGGGAGTTAGGCAGCTGTCCTAGGGAAAGGTCAGCAATTGGCCTTAGGGCAACCTCAGTATAACCTATGAGGTCGTCCCGAAGAAAATTAATTATAGTACAGTACTAGTGTTATTAATATTAAAAAGTTACTAGATATTTGAGATGCCAATATGGCTGCAAAACAAGTGATGTCAAATACATCTTTACAAAGGGACCAATGCCCTAGGAACAGCCAGAGAAAGAAAAAAGAAAAATTCTGATCAATCGACTTGAGAATGGTCCAGGACGGACCGAAACGTCGTCGTCCCTTCAACTTCTAGTGTGTGGTCTGGTCAACATACTTCAGCCACGTTATTGTGACTCATCGCCTGCAAAAATTCTGATCATTCCAAAATCAGGAAATTATAATGGTTGTGTGACTTAATTGTAACTGTGTGAACATAAAGTACAGAAACTAACTGGAAGAGAGGAGGGAAGTTAATGGCACCCAGGGAAAATAACATTACAATAACCCAAAGGACGAGTCAAAGATAATATGAAATTTCACCCTAGCAAAAGGAAAGGCGTACAGTATATACTTTTCTTTTTTAGAATAAGTGACTACAAAAAGTAAAAACTGCAAAAACTAAAGTGCATAAATTTGGGAAAATGGGAAAGGGTTAGAGGTCAAGAAAACAGATTCAGAAGTTATACTTTAGAAGTGATCAAAGGTGTGTGGGAAAATATTGGGTGGTATTAAATTCCACAGGAGTGCTGCGGAATAAAAAGACCGCAATACAAGCCATTTAAAATGACAGAATTTTGAAATACCACAAATGTTCAAGGAACATTTATTTAATTTAAAAACTGTACAGTACTGCCAGAAAGCTTGGCATTAATTAGTCATAGGACTGTTGGGGTCAAGCCCCATGCCCTCCCTTTGCACTGAATGGCAAATTACACTTATAATTACACAATCGACTTGAGAATAGTCCAAGACGGACCGAAACGTCGTCGTCCCTTCACCTTCTAATGTGTGGTCTGGTCAACATACTTTAGCCACGTTATTGTGACTCATCGCCTGCAATTACACTAATTTCTAATCTCGCTAAATAAAAAAACACCATCCTCACTAAGATTCACTCACTCACAGAAGACAAAAGTTACCAGTTAGACTTTTCAGCCTGACAGCAGTCTGAGAGCTTTCTCTTCTCATAGCTCATGATAAGCCTTATCCTACTAGTTTTACACACACAGGTGGGTACAGGAGCAGACGACTGCTGACTCCTGTTAGCAGGCTGAGAGCTTTCCCTTCCTATAGGTTATAGGTTATTGAGAAGTGCAAATTGGAGTCATCAGTACATGAATTAATAGCAACAGATGCAGCAACCAAGACGATCATTAAACAACAATGATATATATGAGTAAGCAACAGAACAGAGCTTTGTAGAACACAGTTGATTTAGAAAACTGGAAATACAGTAAGTGCAAGAGGTGGAAGCAAAGAAAAAATTGGAAGGCATAGAGTAAAAATCTGTACCACATCCTGTCAGACCCATTGAAAATACCTTGAGCTTTGACAAAAGTTGTACTATAATCATATACAGTGGTACCTCAGCTTACGAGCGCCCCTGGTTACGAGCAGGATTTGCTCGGAAAATTTGTATCGGGATACGAGGGTTGCCTCAGGATACGAGGGTGTTGATATGCATACATGCCAACTAGCGTGTGGTGGCACGGCGATCTCAGTTTACCGGTGCCTTGTGCCCAGTGACTATCCCACCTCAATTCTTCACCAGGATTTACAGTGTTTTGTTGGATATTTGGCCATATGAACATAAAAGTTATTATATATCTCACAATGGGTTCCAAGAAAGCCAGTGGTAAGGTTCAGCCTAAGAAAATAGTTAAGTAGAGGCAGTAGAGAATGGCCCTTCTTCATTAAGAAGTATGTGTGTGAAGTATGGGAAGAACTGCAAAGTTTTGTTGAAAAAACTCACCCAGATAAAGCTGTAGCAAGCTGTTGCATTGACCTTTTAAATGACAATGTGATGTCTTACTACAGACAAGTGTTAAAATGTAGGGAAAAACAAATGTCTTTAGACAGATTCTTAGTAAGACAAGCAAGCAGTGAGCCACAAGCAGGTCCTAGTGGTATGCAGGCAAAACTTGCCAGAGAGTGCACACCAGAGAAGTCCTCACTGCCTGATGTTATAATGGAAGGGGACTCCCCTTCCAAACAGTAACACCTCTCCTCCTCCCCCCTCCTCACCATCTTCTATACGCCAACAGCAGTCATCAGCAAGGGTAAGTAATAACTTGAACATAGTTTTGTAGTGTAGATTTCGATGAATTAGGTATAAAATTTAGTTTGACGAGAGATTTTTGGGTAGTCAGGAATGGATTAATTCATTTCCCATTATTTCTTATGGGGAAATTAGCTTCGGGTTATGAGCCGTCTCCAGGAACGGATTAAACTCTTAAACCAAGGTACCCCTGTATTAAGGTAGACCATATGTAAATGAGATGAGAGTTTACTAGTACAATGGCATTATGGAAACAATACTGATGATTATGAAAATTACAACATGGTGTTAAAAACTAATTAGAGATAGATTCAACACTTAAGTTAAAAACTTGGGCAACAAAATGATAGACTTATGAGAATGTAAGGTTTCTATGAAAAAATATTGAAGCCATGTGATGGGATGAGACTCGTGTCCCCTGGACTTGTAAAGGACTGCCAGTATTATTCCATCGCACAGCTTCAATATTTTCTTCTTGAAAAGAGAATATTTCCAAGATAAGGGGATTTTTTTTTAGATTAAAATACTGAAGGTAGTTAATATAATTGCAAGCTCAAAGGAACCATTTAAAACATTAACTTTCTTGTGCAAATGACAAGTCACAATGTCACTGAAGATATGATGACCAAACCACACTGGGCGCATCCGATCCCACGATTGTTGTCACGCCTATATCAACATCAGAAAATGGAGAAATGACAATGTTTTGGTCCGTCCTCGGGCATTATCACAGTATCTAGAACGGACCATTTTCTGTTGTGATTCGGTTATCATTCACTTTCTCAGTACTGTATTTAACACGAAGAATACTGAGACCCAACTTAGCCGAGATGAAAAAGCAAGGCATACAAATTTCATGCCCGAAACGCTTTGCGTAATAGTGGCTTTAGGCATTGTATGTAATAGCCCTATCTATAAATCCATCACTCTTTGTAAAATCTCTTGTATGTATGTACCTTACCTAAATAAACATTTGATTTGATATGATTTATAGGAGAAATAGACTGAAAGGCTGGAGCCATTAAAATCAGAGATAAAAGATAAAACAGTGATCAAAAGATTGATGTTAAGAGTTATGTCTGGCAGGATTAAGGTAGTTAAACTAAGATGCTAAATTCTGGCTTAAGTAAATGTGCTCTTTTGATATGGTTTATGTAGGGTTAAAAAAAAAAAGGCACCAAGATTAATCATGCTACATTTGTGCTACTCTCTAAATAAACCCTGCATAACCTAATCAAAATAATTTTTTTTTATGAATTCATATTAATCAGTACTCTGTGCAAGATATACAGCGAATCAATTTATTCTTCATTTATGTAGCACAGTAATTCTATGGACTGTAACAGTCCATAGAATTACCTCTTGGAATTACATATATAAAGTAGACATTAAATTATCTTCTTACTATAATGGATGTAGAAGAGTGAATGAATTTAGAAAGTGAATAAAAAAATTTTTGCAGTTTTGCTTTTGGAAATACTGTACACACATTTTATAACAAAAAAATGAAAATACATCCCAGGTGACACCAAGGGAAGCCAACAATCTGAGTGACGGCTACCTCATAGACCTGTTGCAAAGTGGTGCGGGCATTCGGGTCACAACCAAAAAGTCTGGGTACGATTCTAAAGACAGGAAGTGTTTGGGCAACATTTCCTTTCACCTGGTGTGCATGTTTACCTGGCAGTAAATAGGTACCCAGGGAGTTAGGCAACTGTTGTGGGTTGCATCCTAGGGAAGCTCATTAGTTGACCTGGTACCTGGTTGATATCTGGTTGATGGGGGTTCTGGGAGTGTGGGGGCCCTATATTAGCTTCACAGGCTTCCTGTCCTTGACTATGGTAAACCATTAGATGAACCAACACTGAAGGATCCCATAAACAAAAAACAAACAACAAAATTAATTTTCCCATAAACATCAAATCCTGAGAAAGTTCTGTATTTTTTTCTATTTTCAACTTTACAAAATATATATAAAACAAATTCACCCCCAAACGAAGTGTAGCAATGTGAATATGTCAGATCGTACACAAGACGGCACACGGACGCACCTTAAAACTTACCTAACGTAACCTTACTTTAACCAACCAAACATAACCCAACTGAACCTAACAGAGCCTAAGGTAATACATCATAAAATTGCAATATACTGTATATACTATATGTAGTATTTGATAATTGGGAAATGAGGCGTCACAAGGTCGTATGTAAAAATTTGACCATACTTTCACCCTGATGCCCCTATTACCTAGCAGTAAACAGATACCTAGGAGTTAGACAGCTGCTACGGGCTGCTTCCTGGGGTGTGTAACAAAAAAAAAAAAAAAAAAAGAGGCCTGATCGAGGACCGGGCCGCGGGGACGCTAAGCCCCAAAATCACCTCAAGACAACAATAGCAAAGGATTGTTATAACCAGCAAAACTTCTATAATATTGCTAAAAAGAAATTATCATTTAATACAAGACTTTAGTGTTTCATTTATTAGTGTTAAGAGCCTTCATAGTAGAATTTGGCACTCAAATAAGACCTCAAAGTTCATACCATAAGTGGGTATAGTTCAGTGCCTTCCACCTACACAATAATAATATCAACCAGTTTTCATAACTACACGAATAAAGAGGCACTTAGAACGTTACAAATGGAGCGTGTGAGCCACACAGGTGAAGAAGCAGGCGGTCAACAGCTCTAACACAACACTAATGTTCCAACTGAAAATTATCTCTTAGAGAAAAAAAATAATCAAAACAAATGAGGTAAACAAGTCATTAAGCCACCAAGGTAAACAAGCCCACTCTCCCAGCCCCAAGCACCAACACCCCATAAACAACGCTTTATATCGCCAAAGACAAACAAGTTTGAGGACAAACCCGAAAAATATCATTTTATTTACATTACCCGTAGATCATATCCTTGGGGGGGAGGATGTCGCCATTTTCTTTCTTATCAGCCGTTCTCTCACCTCCACTCGTTATCGCACATTTCCACCCTTCCCCTCCATTTATCTCACCAATTTCACTTGCCACAGGTAGGCCCGAGTGCTATAGAGCAGGCCATTAGTGTTCAAGGGCGGTAAACGGCCGACACAGCGCTAAAATACCACATTTTAGCGCGCCACAGTTCCCATTCTCAATCATTTCCTTAATGAAAGAAAAATTCACAACTTCGTTTCCCGTTCTCCTTAAATCTCAAATTAGAGTAAACAAACAGACATGTCCAAGCTCCAGTCACCTGCAGAGACCTTCTCCCCGCTCTAAATGACCAGCAGAGCACCGTATCTACGTCAAAAGCGGCGTTAGAAGCCTGAAAATCAATAGGCACACGGGAATGGACATTTTGGGGGGAGGCGACGCCTTCGTGTGGAATCCCAGTCTCTCTCCTCTCAAAACATTTCCCGTTTTCACACAAAAAATACAGAGAACGGCCGCCCTCCTCCTCTTATCCCAGTCTATACTCACAGACGAATGTCCCTCGACGCCTTCCTCACGGAGGAATCCACCTACGGAGGGTAAATCCGCTGAAAATGGTAGAAATATTTCATCACACGACTCACACAAGGGAAAACTGGCCAGCCACTGCTGGAGTCTCGCGCCCGCCGAGAACCCGCGAGATCGTGACGTCACCAGGCGCCACACACGGATTCAAAATACACGATAGAATGACTCTCAATGGACCTCTATATAATGACCAGACCACACATCAGGAAATGGGGGAAACGACGACGTTTCGTTCTGTTCTGGACCATTATCAAGTCTTGTGTGGGGATAATGGTCCAGGACGGACTGAAACGTTATCCTTTCTCCATCTTGTGATGTTCGGTTATCACAGCTTCAGCTACGTTATTGTGACTCCGTCTGTATACCTGAATTTACCTGAGGGCTACCATCTTACTAGTGGCCTCGGCGGGGACAGGAAACCCGTGGATTGTCAAATGTTCCCCTTTTCGATCAGGAAATAAGTTATTGAAGAGCAACTGTCGTTCAATATGCTAATCTGTATTTGTAGCGGCTCGTAGAGCAGTGGTCTACGTCCTCGTCTCACAATCGAATATCCTCGCGCGGTACAGAAACGGTTGGACGAGCTTCCTCTGTACATGAAGCCTTTGATCGCTAATCAGTAAAATAGGTGTTCGGGAGTTAGATAACTGATATGGGATGCTTTTAACATATATAATAATGCAATAATTCATTGTGTTGTGGGACAGGTAGCCAGTGTATATACACTATATATATATTCACTGCTAGGTGAACAGACGCATTAGGTGATAGGAAACGCGCTAAATGATTTCTGACCCGCGTGGGATTCCCGATTGTGAGTCGAGAACGAACCCGACTGTGCTACAGAGACCCTAAATAGTGCCTCAAAGATCAACATGTTTTATCCATACATTTGTTTTGGAGACAGACAAAATGAGCATAGTAATTTAATGCTATAGGAGCAACAAGAGATGCTTTTTCACCTTCTGGGTTATTAACCAGTGGAACCGCCTACCCGCCCAGCCGTACCTGCCAAAACTGTGCCCCTGGAAACCGAAACTGTCTCTATTTTCCGCTTGTTACAACTTGTAATAAAGTTATTACATCTTGACTTAACGTGTTTAAGACGTATTAAAACGTTGTTGCAACTTGCTATATTGGTTGTTATAACTGGTTAGGAGGTGTTAAATCTTGTTCCAAGTTGTACCAACGTCGTAGTTTCGGTGTGTGTTTGGCGGGAATTGAGTTTTAAAATATACCTGGAAAGCTAATCAGGGCAAGTGGGGGGGGGGGGGTCGACAAGCCGCTGGCATCCTGTAAATCAGGAAAATATTTATGACTTACAGTGGTTTGAAGAGGAAGCGCGATGCTGAATGGTGTGGCAGTGTGGGAGCAGTCCAGTGTCACCATGGGTGGTGATCATGGTGATGGTCCGTTGAACAACTGGTGAAGATACTCTTGCTCTCTGATTGATTGATGAAGACTAAGCCACCCAAGAGGTGGCACGGCCATGAATAGCCCGAAAGTTGCTGTCTGTTGCAGCTTTGGATTCAGCTACTCGGAACTAAAAGGTTGTTGACTGATTGATTGATTGATAAAGATTAAGCCACCCAAGAGGTGGCACGGGCATGAATAGCCCGTAAGTGGTACAATTTTGTTTTGTCTCAGTATTCTGAGGTTGCTTTTAACCATCAAGCTGTTATCGCGGGGGAGGATACTGCTTCACAGTCTTTATGAGGGTGTCCAGCTGCTGGACACCTTTGTTGACTAGGAGAGTGGCTGTGTTGATGGCTTCAGGGTGGCCACTGCATGATTCAGGAACTCTTAAAGCTCTTCTAAGGTCATTGGTTGCTTCACATTCCAGTAGATAGTGAAGTAATGGCTTTTCTGTGACAGTTTGGCAGAAGATGCACTCTCTCTGTCGGGGTTCACCAATCTCCCAGTTGCATCTGTAGGTTGTTGACTGTGGTTCAGACAAGTTATACTCCCCCTTCACCTAACAGCGGCAGAGGCAGTTCACCAAATTCATCAAGCAAGTACTTACGCACCTCTCTCAATATTTGGTGGCTCATTAATTGTAATTATGGAACATAAGAACATAAGAACAAAGGCAACTGCAGAAGGCCTATTGGCCCATACGAGGCAGCTCCTATTCTATAACCACCCAATCCCACTCATATACTTGTCCAACCCGCGCTTGAAACAATCGAGGGACCCCACCTCCAGCACGTTACGCGGTAATTGGTTCCAAAAATCAACAACCCTGTTACTGAACCAGTATTTACCCAAGTCTTTCCTAAATCTAAACTTATCCAATTTATACCCATTGTTTCGTGTTCTGTCTTGTTTTGATACTTTTAATACCCTATTAATATCCCCTTTGTTATGTCCATTCACCCACTTGTATACCTCTATCATGTCATCCCTAACTCTTCGCCTTTCCAGTGAATACAACTAAAGCTTTGTTAATCTTTCTTCATATGAAAGATTTCTAATTTGGGGAATTAACTTAGTCATCCTACGCTGGACACGTTCAAGTGAATTTATATCCATTCTATAATATGGCGACCAAAACTGAACTGCATAATCTAAATGGGGCCTAACTATAGCAAGATATAGCTTGAGAACCACACCAGGTGTCTTGTTACTAACGCTGCGATTAATAAATCCAAGTGTCCGATTTGCCTTATTACGAACATTTATGCATTAATCCTTTTGTTTTAAATTCTTACTAATCATAACTCCCAGATCCCTTTCGCAATCCGACCTCACAATCTCAACACCATCTAGCTCGTATCTTGTAAGTCTATCATCATTACCTAACCTCAGAACTTTACATATATCAGCATTAAACTGCATCTGCCAATCCTTTGACCATTTCAAAACCCTATCTAGATCAACTTGAAGTGATAGCGAGTCCTCCTCCGAATTAATTTCCCTACCGATTTTCGTATCATCGGCAAATTTGCAAATGTTGCTACTCAAACCTGAATCTAAATCATTTATATATATTATAAACAACAGAGGTCCCAGGACAGCGCCTTGAGGCACTCCACTTACAACATTTTCCCACTCTGACTTGACTCCATTTATACTAATTCTCTGTTTCCTTTGGTATAGCCATGCCCTAATCCAGCTTAATATAGCACCCGCAATATCATGAGACTCTATCTTTTTAATCAATCTTTCATGTGGCACTGTAACAAAAGCTTTGCTAAAGTCAAGGTACACAACATCACAATCCTTACCACTATCAACTGCCTCAACTATGCTAGAATAAAAAGATAACAAATTTGTTAAACATGAACGGCCATTTATAAAACCATGTTGCGACTCAATTATTAATTTATGTTTTTCAAGATGAAGACTAATTTTATTTGCTATTATAGATTCGAGTAACTTTCCCACAATAGACGTTAGGCTAATTGGTCGATAGTTAGACGCAAGTGATCTGTCTCCTTTCTTAAAAACTGGTATCACATTAGCAACTTTCCAAAACTCTGGCACTCTGCCTGACTCTATTGATTTATTAAATGAATTAAATGCTCCTGTCTGCACAGAAAAAATAGATATTATTGCACTTACCGAAACGTGGATGAATGTAGAAAATAGAGAACTATTAGCTGAATATCAAATAAATGGATTTAAACTATTTCACACAGATAGATATATTAGACGAGGAGGGGGAGTAGCCATATATGTTAGGGACAATTTGAAATGTAGTCTCAAAGAGGGAATCAAAACTGAGCCACACACAGAAACTATTTGGATAGAATTAAACGAAAAAGCAAATAATATTATAATAGGAGTTATGTATAGGCCACCAAATTTAGACAGAATGGAAGCAAAGCATCTACGGGATGAAATATCTAGAGCATCTAGATCTAACAGTATTCATGTCATGGGTGACTTTAATTTTAGTGGAATAAACTGGGTGAACAAAACAGGGAATAGTGAAGCAGAAGATTTTCTAGAATTAATTGACGATTGCTTTCTTACGCAACACATTAAGGAACCAACGCGGGAAAATAATATTTTAGATTTAGTGTTAACTAACAGGGAAACACAAATTAATGACATCGAAATGGGAGCAAATAAACCAGGACTTCACAGAAATAAACTGGGAAGAACAGCTAGAAAATGCTAACCTGAACCAGTGCCTGGAAAAAATAAGCTCAGTAGCACTAGAAATATGTTCAAACCGCATACCTCTAAGAAAAAAGAGGAAGAGATGCAGATTGGAACGGGAACGTCGTTCCCTATATAGGCGAAGAAAACGAATCGCGGAACTACTCTCACATCTCAACAAAGCCTACCTGCACCAGAGAATAGCTGAAGGTTCGCCATCTGCAACATGGTATCTTCAGGCAACCAAATTAGAAAGGTTAAATATCCCAAAAGGAATCCACAGGGAAATAGCAGTTAGGCTATATAGATTACGTCTAGGTTACAGATGCAACTGGGAGATTGGTGAACCCCGACAGAGAGAGTGCATCGTCTGCCAAACTGTCACAGAAAAGCCATTACTTCACTATCTTCTGGAATGTGAAGCAACCAATGACCTTAGAAGAGCTTTAAGAGTTCCTGAATCATGCAGTGGCCACCCTGAAGCCATCAACACAGCCACTCTCCTGGTCAACAAAGGTGTCCAGCAGCTGGACACCCTCATAAAGACTGTGAAGCAGTATCCTCCCCCGCGATAACAGCTTGATGGTTAAATGCAACCTCAG